CCCCCTCCCTCCCTCCCTCCCTCCCTCTCTCTCTCTCTCTCTCTCTCGCTCTCTCCATCTTATTTCAAAGTCTGGGCTGCACTCAATCAACAATTAAAACAACTTCAATAACAAATATATGCAGTGGTGGGATTCAAATAATTTAACAACCAGTTCTCTGCCCTAATGATCTCTTCCAACAACCAATTCACCAAACTGTTCAGTTAACAACCGGTTCTTCCGAAGTGGTGCAAACTGGCTGAATCCCACCACTGAATATATGTATTAAAATTATAAAGATTAAAAACCTGGCACCAAAGTTAAACTTTCACTTGTTAAATCTTCTCATCCACCTCACCCTGTCCCAGCACTTGGGGGAAAAGATAAGTCTTAAGTGCTATTTGACTAGGAGGGTAGAGGCCTACCAAACTTCAAGGGGAAGGGTGCTCCATAAGGCAAAGGCTGCAACTGAAAGTGTACTATTGCTACACTTCCTAAATCCCACAAGATGGCAATATTTAAGGGAAGTTACTAGGAGCATAGCCACTCCATCTGATCCGATAGGACAGGTAGATGTCCTTAGGGAGAGGCAGGCCTTCAGCTAACCTGGCCCTGTGCCATATTTTAAATTCACAGTCAAGGTATTAGTTTCAAAATGTAAATAGCATCTTTGGATCATATCAATAGCTGGTTAAAGAAGAGGATTCCTAATTTGAAATTGGCATCAAAATAATGGAAACAAAGGAGGTTAGCAACAAGTCATTTTGATCTATTGATCAATGAGGTTGTAATAGACTGGGCTGTACATTGATTCAGTTTCTAATCTTGAAAACACAAAGTCCCATCAACCTTCATGTCCTTTTATTATTTAATTAATATATTCACATACCACTTCCCTTTGCTTTGCCTTGCCATGCCATGCCAAGCAGTTTACAATCAGTAATTTTAACAATGCTTAATGAATAAGCCGTATGTTAAAATACAGTATAAATTTAATTTCCATTTTAAAAGTGAAATAAAACAAACAAACAAAACTAATCTCAAATGTTTTTATAGGAGATCTGGGTGGAAGGAAAACATTAACAATTACCTAAAAGATATAATTGTAAAAAAAAAAAATAGCAGGAGGGTGAGAATTCCAGGGATCTCCAGGTTAACTAATGCTGATGTAGGATGAAGCTCAAAATTTGAAGGCTTGGTTTAATAGGTAAAATATTAAATAGCTAGAATCCACACAGAGGGGAAAAAATAACTCTACAAATCAAGCAGACTTTATATGGAAATTCGGCATTCACAATAATAAATCAAGATGGCATAAGAATGTGTGCATAAAAAGAGCTCTGCCATTTGTAGCCATAAACAGCAATGTCTGAGCCATTGATTTCCGGCCCTCTAACCTTAGTCATGAATGAGCAAGGATCCATGGATAATACATTTAAATGTAAGCAAGGAGTCTGCAATGTGCACAACATTGCACTAAACAGAAATCAAGGAAGAGTTTCCTCTGAATAGGCTAATCTGAATAGGCTAATCATGTGATGTTTCACAATGTTTTTCCCATTTGTGGAGCTGGGGTAGGCGTGGCCTGCACGTGATGCATCCGGCCTGTGGGCCGCCAGTTTGACACCCCCGCAACTGTGACATGGGTTCTGCATCAACATGGACATCACTGAATGCTACTCAAGGTTAAAGCCTCTAGATATCTGAACGTGTCCCAGAGATTTGAGCTACTTCATTTTCCGAATAATCAAGGCCAGATCTTTAGTTCTTGTGAGTTGAGATTTAATTCTGAGATCATTTATTCATTTATTTATTTATTTTATTGAATTTCTATACCACCCTTCTCCCGAAGGACTCAAGAAATAAAATCACAACAAAAATAGCTTAGATTTTTTAATTGTTTAATGGGTTTTAGTCGTAAGGTTCTTAATTTTCAGCCAAAGGGTATAATTCTTTTAAATTTTTAAATTTTGTATTGGATGTTTTTTACTTGGCTGTGCACCGCCCTGAGTCCACCAGGAGAAGGGCGGTATACAAATTTAAATAAAATAAAATAAAAAATAAAAACAATATAAAAATTAAAAGCAATTAAAACAATTAAAATTGGCCCAAAACTCTAATAAAACGACCCATTAAAATAGTTAGGCCAGCCCTGCTTGTTGGAATAATAATGTTTTTGGGGTGTGACAAAAGGTACGAAGGTCGGGAATCCTACGAATGTCAGGGGGTAACTCATTTCAGAGGGTAGGAACCCCCAGAGAATGCTCTCCCCCTGGGGGTCGTCAGCCAACATTGCCTAGCCGACGGCACCCGGAGGAGCCCCTCTCTGTGGGAGCGTACCGGTCGATGGGAGGCTATCGGTGGCAGAAGGCAGTCTCATAAATACCCAGGTCCCCAACCATGGAGCACTTTAAAGGTAGCAACCAGCACCTTGAATCGCACTCGGAAGACCATCGGGAGCCAGTGCAGCTCGCGCAGGAGCGGTGTTACATGGGAACGTCAAGTCGCTCCCGTAATTATCCATATCATAATCCATATCAGCATGACAAGCAGACTGCAGATTAGGACCCATTCAAGAGTTGTGAGGCATCAGATAATACATATTTTATCCTTTTCCTAAAGATAATATGACAGTAATTGGGAGATTAATTAAAGTGTTAAACTGGCACTGGGGAGACCCAGGAAACCCACCAGATGAGTTTGGGTGAGTTACTCTCTGTAATCCAATTTACTTTGGAGGGTTGTTCTCCAGATTTTTGGAGAAGAATGGGAATGCTATGTACATTAGCTTAAGCCCCTGAATGAAAGGTGGGATAGAAATCTAAATTATATTAAAAAGGCTGTTAAATTTGCTTCAGAAGGATCAAGTAGCCCTTACCCCACCACAGAATATCTAGATCTGTTGGTGAAGGGCAAGATGTGAAAAAGTAGCACTTCAGAATATTTAAGATTATTATTTTTAGACATGATCTCTTGGTGTTCCCAAGGATTCTCAGAACCTTGTCCTGACAAATAAAATATACAGTAATTAGGTGAAGTTATGGTCGCTTGACAATGGATCACAGTACTCAACTTTCCTAATATCTAAGGTTTCTAAAGATAACTGATAATTCTCCTCTTAAAAAGGAAAATAAATTAACCCCACTGCTGATATTCAGTTTTGACATCACTAGAACTGTGCAAAATAAGCAAAACAATTCTCTTGTTTTGATGGACATAATTTAGAACATCCTCTTATCTAAATCAAATTTAACGCCGAGTAAATTACAGATTTTATCATGCCCTTTACCTGGTTCTGTCTCTGGCTACCAAATTGCAGTTTTTATTCTTTCCAAAGGTGAGGTGAAAAGGTGAGAAGGAAATTATGTGAAGTACACCAAGGACATCAGCAGGATAACTTTCTCAAACCAGGATGGAATGACACCAATTTTGGTGTAGCAAAAGAAAGACTGAGATTTGGAAGCCAGAAAAAAGATTTGAGGTATAAAAAAAAAATTAGTCTGGATCAAGCTGAGGGCTGCAGAAAATAACACTCCTGGAAGAATTTCCCAAGTGCACCTTTATGGGAGTGGCAATTTGGATAAGCAGCTCAAAATGATTCCAGCTGCTCCGTTTTAAAGCTCATCGTCATCATGTGACTAAAGTGGAGCATCTGCAAACAGCCCTGTGCTTTCTAGTGCACACCTGCAGAGACAGACATACGCACACCCAATGCAAAGCAATATAAACTGATGTTAGAAGCAGAAATACATTTGCAGGCAGGAAATGTATGGTATTTAGTTGTGCAGGAAAAATAGATTCCTCTCATGATCATTGCTGGTAAATAGGTTGGAAAGAATTCCAGAAGCCTTGCCCTGCGCACTTTCCCTATTTTGTCACTTGGTTGGTCGTTTTCCCCTAAGAAAAATGGTTTTGTTTCATTTTTATTAGAAACATAATAAAAGGCCAATGGAATCTTCAGTGTATGTGTGTGTGTAATTCAGAGCACTGGAGGGTGGGGGTAGAAATGTTGAGTTTATCTGCAATTCCTTAAAGCAGAGGTCTTCAAACTTGGTAGCTTTAAGATTTGCGGACTTCAACTCCCAGAATTCTCCAGCCAGCATTATCTGCAACTCCTTAAAACAGAAGTTTTCAAACTTGGCAGCTTTAAGACTTGTGGACTTCATGCTATGCTGGCTGGAGAATTCTGGGAGTTGAAGTCCACAAGTCTTAAAGCTACCAAGTTTGAAGACCTCTGCCTTAAAGTAACAATACCAATTCTCTGGTTCACAAACACACATACAAACATGGTAAAGAATCTCATTTTTCTTGATAGAGAATTAGGTTTAAGGAGCAGGCTATGTAAGTTTACATCAACATTCATGTAATATCATGGTAACTAACCAAATTCATTATTTATATTTACATTCAACTAGCTCTCCATAAACTAACATCAAAATATAGATTTAATACTTATAAATAAATGATTATCTACCATCAAGTCATTATCAATTCTTAGTGACCACATCGACTTTCTCTATGATGATCTGACTGGGGCAGTGCGCATGCACGCTCTTTTGCGCATACGTAGAAGCTTCTACGCATGCGCAGAAGCGTCCTGATGACATCGGGGTCGGTGGGTAGGCCAGTTTTACTACCAGTTCTATAGAATCGGTCCGAACCGGGGGCAACCCACCGCTGTCCCTCCCCAAAAGTCTTGCTATGCTGCCTCATTATGGCGGGGAACTTCTGGGACAGATAAGCAAGGAATATTGGGAATCTGTGCAAAGTCTATATATTTCCAGTAGGATTACCCAAGCGCTAAAGGGTATCCCAGGTGCCTAGCTAAAGCATGGAGGCAACCTGTATGGAGCTATATAGGAAGATGATGGAGACAGACAATCACTTTAGTGACAATAGCAAAGGTATCCCATTTATTCTGCATGGGAGAAGGCAATAGTAAGCCACTCCAAAACACCTACACAGATAGAAAATACAAAATGATACTTCATTACCTTCTATAAATAGACACATTTCCAGAGTTATGGAAGACAGCTTTATTTTGTTTTTCTAAACTGTTGCAAGAAGACATGGAAATTTACATACTTTATGTATCCAGGACTTTGCAAACTCTTTAAAGGAAGAGCTTTTTAGAGACTCATTGGGAGCATCAGCGCTATTCTGGACTTTACACAGTACACAAAAAATAAAAGATAAGCCTATGGAACTCACAAACAGGGAAGAGGGAGAGAAACCATGAATCCATAGATTGGAATTAAACTTTGTTAAGTTGCACATACAGCACAAAGACATTGTATGGATCGGACATTGATAGCTCAAGCTTCTCTGCAGACTTGTGAAAAGCAGAATGGAAAGAGGAGTTTGAAAAAGTGACTCAGGATGCACATCCATATTCTGTGTAAAAACAACACCACAATTTACATGTATTTTAAAAGAAGAATAAAAAAGAAGAGAGCAAGTCATACAACCAACTTATGTTCTAGGAAGAAAGACAAATCCATATTTCCAAAATACATATATCCAAAATAAATGATATTTCAAAATAAATATCAACGTGCTGAGGCAAAGAAGAACGTTACAAAAGAAAAAGTCATTGCACACCTTAAGCAGTGTACTCTATACAAACCAACCTTCCTCTCTGAGGAAAACAATCCTAGCACAACTGCAAAGTTCAGAACATTTTATTTTTTAAAAAATATGTGTCAAAAGGGTTTTTTTTTTTTTTTAAGATTCATGGAAGTAAATTTTCTCATTTGTTATATTTCGCTATAAACAATCTTGTCAAATGGATTTCAGGTTAATTGTAAAATGGGCCAGTATACTCTATTTCATTGAGGGAATTTAATTTCTAGAATTTGTTCTAATTTGCTGTTTCACTAACAGTATCTTTCCTTCCCTCAAGCTACAATCATTTCGCCAAAACGTCTTATTTACTGTACAAGGAACATGCAACAGAAATCCATGTAGATAGAGCACTAGCAGTTCTACACCACCCTGTGTCCCATTCCAAGGAATCCTTATATTCAACAGAGCCTCAGTTGGGGGAAAAGATAATATTTCTGGACGTGTCCCTCTGGCTCTATCTTAAAATTGGATTCTTTATCCTCATTGCTATAATCACCACTATCTGAACTTTTAACAGTCAGTAACACATGCCAAGAACCACAGATTTTTGTTAACTATAATATCAAAAATTTGAGAATGTGCAGATACTGGCTCCAAGTTTCTCATTTCTTAATTTTGAAATGAAAGGAAACAACAAACAATATGTCCGCATTAAAGTCCTTTCTCAAGGAGCTTAATTTAGTGAAAGTCTTGATATTATGGCTGTAAAATAAGCTAATTTATTATAAGAGAGAAAATGCAAGAAAGAAGAAATGTAGAAACCAGTAAAAGATTAGAAATCTATTGCTTTACAGGAAAAAAGACAGGGAAAAAAATCACAGCAGTTAGGCACAATCACAGTTTCAAGGTTTTCATTTCCACCCATTAAGGTACGTCAAGGCTTTGCTTGTGTTCCCAAATCTGCCTACATGTATAGCAGGTAGTTCCAGGATGATCAAGTTTCACACAGTGGTCTGAAGGATCCTGAGCATCTCTCTGAGGGCACTGTATCTGCTTCCTCTCCTTTCTGCTTCAAGGGTATAATGTAGTTATCCATGTACTGCAAATTTCTTCGAAATTGTGTCTTTCTGGTTTTTTTTTTGCACTGATAATTTTTCTACTTTATTTAAAATGAGCATAGTGCCCTTATGAACAGAAGTGGTCATCACAACTAGACTGCTGGATAAGATGTCCACAATACAAGCTCTATTTAAGTGTTACAATGTATTGGTCATGCATACATCCCTACAGAATCCTGGCAAGCAGGCATTTCAACATGAATAGTTGATATGAGGTCAGGTTGCTAATCAACTAATTGTTGGAAGGACAGTTGTACATTTTCAAATTGGTGACAATTTCAGCATCACACGTGATGAACTTCAACAGTCAGAGAGAGTCAGTGGTCATCTACTTTAGCTCTTTTGGCTTTCAGAGAAAGATGCTGTAATAAAAAAAAAAGATAGTATCTTTTAAAATTTATACTCTCATAAACGCTCTAATGAACCAACTCTTCATCAAAGAGTTAATCAAAACTAGCAACTTACTAGCGTAAATTGAATGTTGCTTTTACAGCTCTCCTGAAACTCCATTTTGCCATCCGGCCAAAAGCATTAAAGCGTACAACCATTTGCCAATATAGAAATATAGGCAGTCCTCGACTTATGACCACAATAGAGTCCAAAATTTCTGTTGCTAAGCGAGACGGTTGTTAAGTAACCTTTGTCCCATTTTATTACCTTTCTTGCCACAGTTGTTAAGTGAATCACTGCAATTGTTAAATTAGTAACATGATTGCTAAGTGCATCTGGCTTCTTCATTGACTTTGCTTATATGAAAGTGACCACATGATTCTGGGACACTACAATTATCATAAAGATGAGTTAGCTGTCAGGTGTCTGAATTTTGGGCCATGGATATGTTACAACGATCGTAAGTCTGAAAAATGGTCATAAATCACTTTTTTCAGTGCCATTGTAACTTTGAACGGTCATTAAACAAATTTTTGTAAGTCAAGGACTACCTGCAATTGCTATTTTGAAGTTGTAAAAATGTGGGTGCCTGGTAATACAAAATAAATAAAATGAGAAAAACACATCTTGCAAAATTGCAGACTTTGGGAATTTCTTCATCAATAGAATTGATATTATTATGAAGCATTCCACTGTTAATCAGATGGAGTAATTTAGTCATTCCAAGTAGAGTTGCGTAACATCCTTATTGCACTCTTGATGTGACAGATGGTGGTGAAGAATAATTCACAGGGCTAACTGCAATTGTTTTTTTTCCCCTCCTAAATATTTTTGTCTCCTAAATATATGCCTTGCCAATTGATACTAAACTGACATCATCTCTCCTCCTACATTTAAAACTCTAAGGGATCAACCTATTCCTAGAACACCATTTTGTTAACAATGGTCCCACTCTCTTCCAAAGATTTGCTAGCTCCTACTGCTTTCTGAAATAAGACTTAATTGTATTGTAATTAATGGGATTTCAAGAATAATATGGGTTTCCATTTTGTGTTGACTTTTTAGAAACAACAGCCACTCTTTATTTAACAACTATCTCATTTAGCAACCAATTTAAATTTGAAGTATATTTTAATCTAATAAACGCTTTAAAAGTGAAATACGAAACACAAGAAAATATAGTAAGAGCTGCCAATTCAGCAGTGATACCGTTTGGAGTCCATGCCGAGCCCGTACCGTTCCTTGCTGATAGAAATGAGGGGCCAGTTCCAATAACCAAGTAGATTTAATAGCTGTAACATCTCGCATGTAATACTTCGAAGTCTGTATAACTTCATTGTACACTACCCTAAAAAGATAAAATAAAAATAAACTATATAGTATATGAGACTTGACATCTGAGCTAAGTAGTAAGTTAATTATCTTCCAGTGTTTTACCCTTAGTATAATTTCTTGGCATGACATGGCATGGCGTAAGATTCACAGACATACGTTGGCCAGATTAGAAGCTTAACTGCAGACAAGCATAAAGCCACATGAACAACAAACAGGTTAGTTTTCATTTCAATGCAAAGGTTTTATGGACTTTTATATATTTTCGAGGGTTTAAATTCAAGGTTTTTTCCTCCCACTCATTCATGCCTTGAAGTCTGGTGATTGTGTTACTGTAATAGGTTTCCCCAGATTTAGGAAAGAGAAATAGCAGCTTGGAAATCTTATAAACACAGAACATAAATGCATTCTTCCTTGCTCAGACAAAATACAGGCAGTCTTTGACTTACGACCATAATTAAGCCCAGAATTTATGTTGCTAGAAATTTGTTAAGTGAGTTTTGTCCCCATTTTACAAATTTTCTGGCCACAGTTGTTAAGTGAATCACTATACCTCTTAAATTAGTGACAGGGTTGTTAAATGAATCCAGTTTCCCCATTGACTTTGCTTGTCAGAAGGTCACAAAAGGGGATCACAGGAATCCATAAATATGAGCCACTTGCCAAGCATCTGAATGTAAATCATGTGATCCTGGAGATGGTGCAAAGGTCCCAAGTGTGAAAAAATGGTCATAAACCACTTTTTTCAGTGCTGTTGTAACTTCAAACAGTCATTAAACGAACTGCTGCAAGTCGAGGACTACCTGTATTAGCCAACTTCTTTCCTGAATCAAAGGAAAGCTAGAAAGAGGATCAAGAAAACTCCATCCTAACAAATTCTTCAGTAACCTAATCCCTTTTCCCTTTCAATAAATCTAGTTAAAGAAAATTCTGTGAGAATTCTGCTTTTTGATAATCTGCTAAATCTAAAAGATATGTTTATCTTTATATCATCTCTAGCCTGGGGACAATTGGCTTCCACCTCATGAGCTCATACCATATATGGCTCACTACAAAGAGCAACTATTAAGAAAACATTTAAATGCTTTCCCATTATTATTCCATAAGAAACTACATCAGGTAGGCCATAAACCTCAATATGAACAGCTATATGCTATAAATTAATATGCACATTCTCACTTTAGATTGAAGGGATTTAGAGCATTTGAAATGTTTTGGAAGTCAGCTTTACACCTCAGCATACCTTGGAAGAGTTCAAAGAAAATACAATACACACAGAAATATTTCTGAATCAAAGAGAGAAGCAACGTAGAACTAAGGAGAAATTTCCTGGCAGTTAGAACAATTAATCAGTGGAACAACTTGCCTCCAGATGTTGTGAATTCTCCAACACTGGAAGTTTTTAAGATGATGCTGGATAACCATTTGTCTGAAGTGGTGTAGGGTTTTCTGCATAAGCAGGGGGTTGGACTAGAAGACCTCCAAGGTCCCTTCCAACTCTGTTATTCTATTCTATTCTAAAATGTATGATCTAATTATGACCTTGCATAGGAATTAACAACACTTCTATTTGCTTGTTAGGATTGAACCAAGTTGCATCCTCTCCATCGAAACCTTCAGGCACAGACCTAAGATTTGATGGCATCATCAAGTTGGTCCTGGATCAAGATGTATAACTGGGCATAACTGGCATACTGGTAATATCTAACCCCAACCAATGGATGACCATAGCCAATGTTTTCATGTAGATGTTAAGCAGAAGAGGAGAAAGCATTAAATTCTGCAACACCCCACAAGTGAGAGACTCTGTGACCTTTGTCCAGCCATCAATATTGATTAGAACCAACCAGAGAAAGAAGAACCACTGTAAAATAATAACTCCTACCCCAAACCCTCAAAACCAGACCAAATTCTGTAAGTCAACAATACTGAAAGCTGTTGCGAGAGATCAAGAATCATTATAGACACACCAAATAATCAGCAAATATGATTAAATATAATGTATGCCTTCCATGAAGGCAACCTTTTAACATCTTCTAGCAGTCAATGCAAACAATTCCAAAAGCAGTCACCATGAAGTCTGTAGTCAAAATCAATGAGCAGTATTGGACAGCATTCACTCAAAATGAAATCATTCCATTTTGCATCTTGTAAACTAATTCACCTTCTAAATGATAATCTTTCAAATCTAATATTGGTTCTCCATAAATTACAATATCAAAACCATAGAAATAAAAAAAAGCTTAGCTTACCAACGAGGAGGTTTCTCTGCATACAACACTGAGGTGGGATGTATGTAGAGTTCATGATCATCACGAATAGTCCTTGAAATAACATTATTTTAGAAATACAATATTTACCAAAGCAACATGTCAATGTTTATGTATAGTACAAGCCACTATCAATTTCCTCAAATATAATCAGTATGTTACTAAATCAGCAACATTTCAGCTATCCCAGCTGTCTATTGACTATTTTGAAATCTCCTGTTCATTTTTCAAATGAAGCAGATTTTTTTTCAAGAAAAACCTCTTTCCTTGACCTAATTGGATTTAGTTCAAGTGAATTCATTATCAGGTTGACCAGTTTGTCCAAATGGAGCAAGCATATTAGAGACCAATTGTTCCAACTGATGGCTATCAAAAAGAATTTTATGAACTCAAGTAGTGATAATTATATATATCATGTACGTATTATGATATTGTATCAAGTATAATCTTGAACAAACTTCTTCAGTTCAGTCATGACTAGCCTATGTTAGCTAAATGAAAACAGTAATATTTCTATTGGTTTTGGAAGAATTTGCTAGAATGAATACTTTGTGCTTATATTTTTACGTAACTGCTTACTTTTTAATTACTGCACTCCGTGTTTTATATTAACTGTTTGCTGTCAACCAGATGCTGGGTAAAAATAAATTTACCTGTAACACCCAGTAGAATGAAATCTGGCTGCATTAGCAAAAAATCCAGAAACAATACATCTTAGAACAGGGTCTGGATCACCTATAAGAAAGAGATGGATTTGACATTTTACAGTGAGCATGTATCAGAGACAGATACCCTGTTTCCCCCAAAATAAGACATCCCCTGATAATAAGCCCAATTGGGCTTTTGAGCGCATGGCAATAAGGCCAAGCGCATATTGCAGGGTTCAAGAGACATAAACTGTTTCAACTCCTACCCTCAAAACGACGCTTTAGAGCACTGCACACCAGAACAACTAGATACAAGAACAGTTTTTTCCCAAATGCCCTCACTCTGCTAAACAAATAATTCCCTCAACACTGTCAAACTATTTACTAAGTCTGCACTATTAATCATATCATTCCCACCACCCATCTCCTTCCACTTATGACTGTATGGCTGTAATTTTGTTGCTTGAATCCTTACGATTTATATTGATATTGTTTCCTGATTGGTTATTTGTACCCTATGACTATCATTAAGTGTTGTACCTTATGATTCTTGATGAACATATCTTTTCTTTTATGTATACTGAAAGAATATGCACCAAGACAAATTCCTTGTGTGTCCAATCACACTTGGCTAATAAAAAATTCTATTCTATTCTATTCTAAAAAAATATAAGACAGGGTCCTATTTTTTGGGAAACACGGTATCTTGGTATCCTCCAGATATTCTGACTTTCAAATCATAGCAGCCAAACACAGGAGCTGCCCCAAAAAATATATAGAGGCAAGGTTATCTTTTTCAACAAACCTGAAAGGCTCAGGTTAAAATGAAAAATAATAGCCAATAATTACAAATTAATGGTGGAAAGAAGAAAGAGTAAGTTCTTCTCAAAAGTACATCTTCCTGACACAAAAGTAAGTATGTTATAAGAGACAATGCCTATAAATAAAGAAACGAGTACTATTACATACTAAAAACAGAAAAATTCAATTCTGCAGATTAAACATGAAAAGTACACAGGAAACACGTTGGTAAATTAAGGCAGGTCATTCATACCTTCACTAGATTTTTTTGGCACTTTGAATTTGACAAGAAGTTTTTTCAGCTGCTCCCTTACAATTGTGGCTCTAACAAGACCTTTATAATTCAGAAAGTGTTCCTGACACCACTGAGAACTTTTGTTGTGCTACAAATAAAAAGGATATGATGGATCACACCTAGAAAATTTCTATCACAAAGTGTTAGCACTTCATATGCAGTTTTCTGGTTTCCTTAATGTCATGAGAATGAAAATATACACAAACTTTCCCAGTCTACACTACAAGGCAAAATTAATCTCAAAACCTTATGATCCTTTTCAAAATAAAAGCAGTGCAATTTGCAAAATAGGCTCTACTATTTTCCCAGCTTAAATAATAAAAGGCTTTAAAGTCCACTTGATATCCTTTTTTAAAATTTCACAAACTGAAACTTACTGTTAACAGTTTAATTTATCGACATCCTAAATCTTAATTTCCACTGAGAAAGCTATTGCACATGGCAGAATTCTGCAATAAAGACATTAACACTAACATGCACACATATTTGAAAGATAAGTAAATATGATCCAAGTTACACAACACAAGTAATTATAAAGATTAAGAATCTCAGCTTTAATTTTAAATATTACATGTACTTATCTCTTGCTGTAAGAGAGATAATTGTTAAAGACTTATGTCTACAAGATACACCACATGCTGTTAAATTTCTAAAATCACAACACTTTAGGATTTTCAGTTATCTCTGCTGAGCTCCTTGCCTTCATTACAACTAAAATTGACTTTATTAGCTTTACAAAACCCATCCAAAGTTAATTATTGCAAATGATATTTTGGTATATATTGACATCAGTTGGAATCATGGCTAGAAAAACCCAAAGTTCGTTTTGTACTTTAGTTTAACTGCTTACTTTTATAAAAGCTTCATAGACATTAAGCATTGTGAGATGGTCACCCTCCTCAACAGCAAATTTTCTGTGTTCTCTAATCTGAAAAGGAGAAATCTTTTATATAGCAAACAACAGAAGCTGAAATAATTTTCTGCTAATTTTCAAGAAAAGTATAATCTAAATAGGTTGAATCTGCACTTTAACGAAATTTCAACTAACCCATGAACACAACAGTCTTCTCAGCATTATACTTCAAACAGAACTTCAATAGGTATAAGTGCTCAGAAGTAAAAGCATATCAAAAACTACATCATTAATACACAAGTCACCGTAATGTTTTTAATTAAATAGCTAATAAGGAGGCACAAAATATAAAATGAAAACAAGGTATCCAAGTGAACAAGTCAATGCAAGCAGTCTAGAAGTGTTTCAAAGTTATGTCGGTGGGTATAAACCAGCACTTACAGCTTGAATTTTTTGGTTTGGAGGAACTGTGAAGATATTTTGGATTTGCATCATGGATGCAATGCTCAGAATCTCTTGGGAGCAGCCAAAATTTCCTGCAAAATGATTTAAGGAAAAGAAAATTTCATTGTCATGGAGCAGTGCTTCCTTTGTTACACCTTTCCAATTAAAACAGCTATCACAGAATTATATCTCCTATACTGCTTTCTCCGTACTCCTATCTCACTTTCATAACCCAGTCTATCATGCATCTACATCTAAGATATAGCAAAATATTTATTTTTAATGATAAATGCACATTAAACATTTTAATTACAAAGTAAAAAGAATCAACACTCCAAATTATAATAGAACATATCACCTGATTCTAGGAGCATCTTTGCAAACATAGGATTTAAAGGGAACTCTGCTATTCTAATCCCCAGAGGTTCAGTGAGACGACAATATTTATCCAGTCCTGCAGGAGAAAAAAAAACAATGATACAGAATGTCAATACTGGTAATTCAGGATGCCTTAAATGTAAAATGTTAAGAGTATAGAAAGATGTTATTGACTGTATTATTTTCCAGAGCTAAAACCATATTCCTGGGATCTTTGCATTATATGAGTCGCTATATCTTCAGCCTAACATTCATATAACAAAAATGTAATCAATGATGAATGTTGAAATGTACATATCCTTTTTTTCCCCAGAAAAATATAGTATCTCCTATTATTTTACTGCTTTATAGATCTTACAAAAATTTTGGCATGCATTTGACACAGAACAAGCAAAGCTTCGCATCAAAGGCAAAAATGTTTTCGTTCTTATAACCCTGGTACATTAAAAGCAAGACAGTTCTATTTTGGTTAATTGATCAATAGTACCTAGGTGTAAAGGCAATAACATGCATACCTTTCACTCCCTCTAGAGTTAAAAATAAACAAAGACACCATCTTACCTCCTAAGGCATACAACAGCTCCAGAGCTTGCACCATTGATTGAGCTGGTGGAGGCTAGAGAAAAAGAAGTAATATAATTTGTTCTTTGTTATAGGAGGATATTTTCAATTTAGAAACCCACTTTTCTATGAATTCAAGAAGGAATCGGTAGTCTCCTATTGCAATCTACTTGGCTTCAAAAAGTTTGGCACCGATTAAAGAAGACTCCACTTTGCAACTTAAAAGACAATGTTTGGGGGAAGAGCCATGTCTTGGATCTGTGCTAGGAGGCTATTTTAAAAAGGCAGGACAGCCACAGGGAAGGCCTTCTTCCAACTTCCCATTAAATAACAACATTTAAGGGAGGGGAGCACGCTCATCCTATGTAACCTAGTAAGACATGCAAATATCTTCAGGGAAAGTTGGTCTCCAAAGTAACCTGGCCCTGTGGTCTGTAGGGCTTTAAAAGTCATTCAGAACCTTGAATTGCACCTAGATAACAATTGGGAGCCAGGGCAGCTGACACAGCATCAATGTAAGTTAGGTGAACTGTGGAGCACCCAAAACTGTATGTGCTACTGCATTCTGGATCAGTTGCAGTTTCTGGATGGTCTTCAATGGCAGCCCCATGTAGACAGCATTGCAGCAGTCCAAACAGGAAGTAATTAAGTCATGAGTGATTATGAGCAAGGCCTTCCAGTCCAGGAATGGCCCATTAGTATATAAGATGAATTTGTGCAAAGGCCCTCCTGACCAAGGCTGCCACCATGGCTTCCAGCAGGAGTCCTGCATCCAGGAAGATACCTAGGCTGGATGACTTTATGAAATAAGTGAGACTATCACCAATCATTGATGCCATTCATTCACTCAAACCTCTTTAATATCTACAGAACCCAGCTGAAGCTCTGACAGCATTCAGATAAGCAAACATTTATAAAATCTGAAGGGAAATATTTTTTCATAGAATTCAAAATATGTGTATACTTATCTTCACATAATTGTAAATCCTTTTTAATGAACCAGCTTTGTAACCATGCAGTTTCTCTGTTTGTAGAGCACTGCAGCAAACACATAGGGGTCTACAAAAAAACTAGACATAGCTATCTTGGAGCCAAGGTTTTTGTGCAAACCTCGCTGAGGTTTATGCTGGTATATGTAGCCTGAAGCAAATTAATATTAAACTAATGTATGAAAAGCATGAGATGAAAAGGGAAACAGCTTTTGGGATCTTCCCTATTTTGATTCATACAATAAAACATTGCAAAGCAAGTGGAATGGCTGATCCAAAGGCCATCAGTGAGCTGCACAGTCAAACAGGTGCTTTGCTGTGGGTCTTTTTGGCCCACGTCTAATATCCCCATCACTTCGCATCATTCATTTTCATATTGTGCTATGGTTAGGGTTTACAATAACCCTTCCCCTACTGAAGAATGGTGGGAAATAGAGATACTATAAAAGGATAGGAGATCTTAAGAGTTCTTCTTTTGTCATATGATAAATACGAAAGATTAAACAAGGTTCTCTTACTTACTGAGAGGAAGGGAAACCTAAGCACATTGTCAATTCCTAATGCCTTAAGCTGCAATATAACTGGTGCCAGGTTACTGCGTTGCATTTCAGGAATAGTGGACTGTGGCAATTTCTCAAAGTCTTCCTCTATGGAGAAAGCAAAATTCTTTGTGATTAAGTTTTAAACATGAATCCTCCCCCCCCCCCCGTTATAAGATTCCACAACTCAATTAATAATGCATATTAAATTAAAGTGTTCCAACTAAAAACAAATCTTTTAAAAGTGGTGCTTTAGAATGTACAGAAACACATACAAAGCAGATCTTTTTGAATCATTAAAGCAGCTACATATTTTTCCTTACTTATGCACTATCTCCACATACTAAATGCAGGCAAAATCTTCATCTGCAATATAAATGTACAGAGCTGGAAGACTATAGTAAGAAACATTTGTCGGGTGGGGAGAGGCACTGGTCTTCAAGTCAATCTTAATTCCTGGTGTCTGTCTGGAGAAGTCCCTGCAGTTTTCTTGGAAAGAACTGGTTTGCCACTGCCTCCGTCCTAGGGCTGACCGGTCCAAGGTCACACAACTGACTTTGTGCCTAAGACAGGACTAGAACTCGGATTCTCCCAGTTTTTTGCCTGATGCCTTAACTATTCTCAAGAAAGATTTAATTGGCTATAAAGAAATGTTTCCCTGAAGCATTCTGTAATACAAACTCTTGTGCAGCATTATGAAGATATGAAGAACTTCAAGAAAAGGAAAATACAGGAGAATCTGATTCCATAACATACTGAGGAACATAATAGGGAAGAGAGATTAAAAATGAACCATGAAATTCTATTTTGGGGTGGGAAGGTGGATTATCAACAAAAGAGCCTTGATAGTACAGTGGTTACGCACCCTGTTATTAATACAGCTGCCTGCAATTTACTGCTGGTTCGAATCTCTCCAAGGCTCAAGGTTGACTCAGCCTTCCATCCTTTCTAAGGTAGGTGAAATGAGGACCCAGTTTGTGGGGGCAATAAGCTGACTTTGTATAAATATACAAAAGTATGAAGGCTATTGCTTAACGCATTGTAAGCCGCCCTGAGTCTCCGGAGAAGGGCGGCATATAAATCAAATTAAAAAAAAAAAAATACCTCTACGTATTTTTGTACATTATTACGAAATATTTTTTTAACTATCTGCATAAAGAACAGTTTAGAATAGAATAGAATAGAACAGAACAGAATAACAGAGTTGGAAGGGATCTTGGAGGTCTTCTAGCACAACCCCCTGCTTAGGCCCATTTCAGACAAATGTTATCCAATCTCTTCTTTAAAACTTCCAGTGTTGGAGCATTTACAACTTCTGGAGGCAAGTTATTCCACTGATTAATTGTTCTGTCAGGAAATGTCTCCTTAGTTCTAGGTTGCTTCTCTTCTTGATTAGTTTCCACCCATTGCTTCTTGTCCTGCCCTCGGGTGCTTTGGATCATAGCTTGACTCCCTCTTCTTTGTGGCAACCCCTGAGATATTGGAACACTGCCATCATGTCACCCCTAGTCCTTCTTTTCATCAAATTAGACATACCCAATTCCAGCAACCGGTCTTTATCTGTTTTAGCCTCTAGTCCCCTAATAATTTTTGTTGCTCTTCTCTGCACTCTTTCTAGAGTCTCAACATCTCAACGTTTATTAAGTTTTTTTTTTAATGCAAAATATAGACAATGAAGTTGAATTTATTATTATAACTCTAAGTTACACAGCTCAATTATGAAACTATTGACAATAAATTAAAACTCCAAAAATAAGCAGTCTCTACCTGTGTAAAGTCTATAACATTTTCCTGAGCGATTCCGTCCAGCACGACCAGCTCTCTGATTAGCCGAGGCCTTCGAGATTGGAACAACCACAAGACATTCAATGGCTGTTTTGGGATTATATGCACGAAGCTTCACAAAGCCACAGTCAACGACAAATGAAATTCCATTGATTGTGATAGAGGTTTCTGCAATGTTAGTAGCCACTATCACCTGAAAGGACCAAGGTAAAAATTAGTCCCTACCTCATAAACAACTAGGTAAGTTTGAGAATATAACAACTGTGGCTTGTTTGAAGGGCTGCTTTAAAACCCCAAAAAACAATTTAAACAAAACTAGAACTGTAAGAAATGCTGATTATTCCATTTTGACCAATGACTATGTAACAGCAATATCCATTTTAAAACACTTAAAATTTTTCGGTAAAGCAATATTTTGTACATGTTAAATCTGTACAAACTGCAGATTAGGAACAGATTTCTACGGACAAAATTACAGCCCCCAGTCAGCAGATAAAATTTCCAGAATAAATACCCTAACAGTTAGATGAAAAGCCATACTGCTGCTTTCCTTCTTAAAAAATAAAATTAAGAACAACTGTTCTTTCATCTGACATTGAAAAAGAAAGTTCATAATTAAATAGGTTAAGGGGGGGGAGGGACAAGAAAAAAGGACTGATGCAGAAGAAAGGGTCACATTCTTAATATACCATTAGAGCCAATTCTGTCTGGTTTGCATTCAGCATTTCTAGCAGCCAAATTATGGTCTGGAATGTCTCAGCAGATGATATATTTTTGAACATGATATAAAATATAATAATCTCTATATTTTTCAAGTGTAATATAAAACATCTCTATGCATATCTTATCCTAACAAATTAAGTATGAGATGATGGGTACTACACACACAGAGAGAGACACAAACACACAGCAACCTTACCCAGCTTGGTACCCTCCAACGTACCGATACCGTAACGTTTTATAATTTCTGTCCAGAATGTTTATGCTGGAAATACTGGGAGTTGCAGCCTCAATGAGGCTTGGCAATTATATTTAAGAACAATAAGTATATACTTTTACCTTTCTCACATTATGAGGCATTCTTTCAAAAACTTTCATCTGCTCAGTAGCAGGCAATCCAGCATACATAGAAAGGACACGCAGGTGCTTCTTCATGCCTGTGCGAGCGATGATTCGAGCTTGTTCTATCAACATAGAAACAACTGTTTCTACTTCTTCCTAGAAAAGTAGTTGAGTGATTGACAGATTAAATTATATTTACTGTACCTTCAAGAGCATATCATGAGGCTCCTTTTAAAAGGAGACATCTAATCTATCTTCTCATAAAAAAATTTTTCCTGTTCATGATCTTTAAAAGGCCAGTTAATTGTGTTAATAGGATGCCAAACATCAAAGTGATTTTCTTCCAATGCGCCACAATACTTTACAGTCCAATACAGAGGGCAGGATGGGAACTTTCATACTAGAGCCTTGTACAACCATCAATTATCTGGCTATTTTTAGAGGACTTCATACAAAATGGATAACAGAAAAGGAAGTATAAATTATTGGCGCTTTTTATTTTTAGTTTAAATATAATTTCCCTGCAAATTCCAGAAGTTGAATGGAAAGTGTATATTTGTGGCCTTTGAAATTAGGTACACCTTCTTTTTCCGGCTTCTTCAGATTTTTGCCACCTTTATTTAGATTTGCACAAATGCAAATCTAATAGATGACTGGGGAGTGTCAAGACAAATATTTTCAATTACTTGACTACTATGTCTTCTTTTTTATTCTCATTTGTGAAAAAAATAGTTCACAGAGGTAGAATATGCCTTATCTCCTATTTTTCATCTTATTCCAAATTATGAGATGCCCTGAGTCTCCAGAGAGGGGCGGCATATAAAATAAATAAATAAATAAATAAATAAATAAATAAATAAATAAATAAATAAATAAATAAATAAATAAATAAATAAATAAATAAATTCTGGTCTTTTGCAAAAAAGCAATCCCAAAATTTTCATTTATTTGATACTTCATATATACTTCAGAACATTTTAATACTGCTATTCTGTTCCTCGGTGATCAAATAAATGCATATCACTAACATGTGAAAAAAGCTGGCAGGTTTTATTCCACCTATTAAAAGAATGGGCAACTTCACAAATGGAAGTTTGTAAAGAGTGCTACCCTTTTGCAACAACAGAAATGTTTCTGTTTCAAATACTCTGAAATAAACTGGCATGCAGTGTTTACATACCTAGTAGGTTAGGAAAGTAGTATTTTCCTTTGAACTATCTACATGAGGATAATGTGTTGTCATAACAATGCAAAGGAATGTCTAAATGCAAAGTATATATTTCCTCATATAGTAGAAACTGCTAGTAGTGCAGTTCATCCAATTGGTTGTAACAATATCTTTATGTGTGAAGTAGGCCTACAATAGTCATAATTATATTTCTAATTATTAAACACATTTTGGCTATCAAGCACATTCCAATTGTTCTCCTCAGTTCCAATTCATGTTGTATCATATCCTACAAATTTTTCGGATAGAAAAATATGTGGTAATGCCACATATTTCTGCACCTCAGATCCCGACGACCTCTATATATGCTGTTGCCTTGATCCATTAAAGCTAGAAATGAAGAACTTGCCTTAGTTTCAAAAAGCAATAAATGCCATGAGTAAAGATTAGAAGTATAAATTTATTTTATTTTACTCATTCAATTTCTATAGCCACCCATCTTGGACAAGTGATTCTGGGTAGCAAACAATCGTAAAATGTTCATGCACAAACCATTCTGTGTTGCTTTCTGGTATTGAACTGGCACACGTATTTCTTGTGCTTTGTTCCACACACAGATTTAAATAGGGTTGCTTTTGTCCCAGGCAGAGATGGCTGAGGGAGTGGTTGGGAAAATGCCAAGGACACTGGCAAATGAGAGTACATGGAAAGAGAAAGACTGAGGGCAGACTAGTGCGTGATACTGAGAAGGAAACAAAACGAACAACACACATTAGCCTTGCTCAACTCAATCTGTTTCATCTAAACCAGTGTCCCTCAATTTCATCAACTTTAAGAAGCCTGGACTTCAACTGTCTGGGGAATTCTAGAAGTTGAAATGCATATCTCTTAAAAGTTGCTGAGGTCGAGATACACTTATCTAAACCAGAACAGCTAAAAATTGCTAGGTTTGTTTCTGCTGACCAATGGCCATTTCAAAAGAGTTTGGCAAAATCTCTGAAAATGCCTTGGTTTGTTCCAGGTTCAGAACAAAACAGGTATCCTGTATCATGCACTTCTCTGTATTATCTTATACCCACTGGAAGCAAAAAGGAAGTTCTGGAGAACTAAAACTTAATTTGCTGCACCATAGGCAGGGAAGAAACATCCATAGATTACTCACTCTTGTTTATTATTATTTTAAAATAGGCAAGTACATTTTATTAAAAGAAAATGCTTAAATATTTACATTTGATATTTGCACTGCCTCAAGTGTGTATATGTTTCTCATGTGCATACACATACATACACTTTCCTTGTCTCATATCCTCCTGATAAACCTCAACCACAAATCACAACATTCCAGGTCAATAGAATCCAATATTATAATTCAGTAGCCTTCTCTCAGTCACTAGATTCTGGAAGTCTAATATAACCAATATTTTAAGTTAGATGTGAACAGCAATCTTGCATGAAATAAAGTCAACATATTATCTTACATCAAACCAATAATTTCAAGAAGACAAAGTTTATTTTGCATCTACCTGGCCAGTTAAAAATGCCAGTATATCGCCATCACCTTCTGAATTATGAATTTTCATGACTGTTTCCACAGTTGACTTCACATAATCTGGAACAGGACTGTTGGGGGAAAGGGGAGAAACATAATAAATTTCCCAATGAAGTGTAGTACAATTTCTATTTATCACCAGGAATAAAGGAAATACAAATAGATTTGATCCTTTTAAGAGGATCAAAAAATTAATTCTAACTACTCTTTTCAGTTTTCTTTACAAAACATTTAATACTACTAAACATTCTATAATTCAATTTATATATATATGCTTAAAATGTTATTCCACAATAGTGGGAAAAATAGTTCAACAAACAGTACGTATCCTTCAGCATATTATTAAAAACCTAACTTTTTAAACAATGCAAAATCAATATACACTCAAATGTAGCATATCTGAATAATCTATATCGCATTTTGAAATCTGGTTCTAATGGCCTTCAGTAACTATTTGCCCACAAGCAACTTTTAAACTTTCAACAAGGAAGTAAGAATTAAAATTGTTGTTATCATATACAAGGTATCTTACCCAAGCATATCTCTTTATCATAGAATTGGAATGGGCAGGCCCACACAAGAAAATATTTTTAAAATATTTGAAGTAGAATGTGGTGGAAAATCTAGATTCCAGTGCCTAATATGTGTCATTCCACATAGCATTAAAAGTAAAAAAGAACTGACTAAATTACAGTATATTCGTATAGCATATCACTTTACGAAGCTAATGAAATAAGCTCATACAGAAATACAATATTTTTCCTTAAAAAGGCTACAGAACATGTTTTATCTATTATAGATTAATATGGCTACTCTTCCTGAATGTTTTATAACAATTAAGTTGAATACTTCTCACTTTAGTCAGTTGTAAAAGTAGCGATGTTACAAGAACATAAAGGGACAAGCAAAAGATTATCCACCTATGAACATCCACATTTCTTGCTTAGCACGCATGCAAAAGCAAGCATCTGGATGCATAGGTAAAGAACAAGCCCACTTCTGCCACCGGACCTTTCCATCTCCTTCTGTGGAGGAGGAGGGAGGGCATGAAGTTGCTGCCAAGCTTGCCCATAGCCCTTCTGTGGAGGGGGAAGGGGAGAATTAAGGTTCCAGGGGAGGAAAAGCATGAAGATTCCACCGAGCCCCCGTAGCACTTGTCTGAAGTCTGCTCCAGCTGGCCGGTGCAGAAGGGGATGGGGGAAGGTTCCTGAAGCCCTCCTCCACTCAAGTCTGCGCCTGCTGCTCACAAAATAGGAGAGAGATACAGTCAATTGGAAAACAGGATTTAGGTTTATATCCTAAATGTGTTGGTAACAAAGCCCAAGAATACCTAAAGATCCATTTAATCTTCCTTTCTCAACCAGACTTCTCTTCTAACCACCACTTAAGCATTAAACAGGAACAGACCTCTGAATGTAGAAGACATCCACTGGAAACGTCCGTCCTTCCACAGTGAGGATCATGCTGGTATCTTTGCTTGGGTCACTGCTCTCATTTTGGTTAAAGAAATCCCTAAATTTCTAAAGTAAGGACAGTAAAATCATCACCAACAACACCAGCTAAAAGAAGCAAACGCTTATCAAATACTGGGAAACCAAGGAGAAATATTTAAGTTTAAAATAAAAACTTTTTTTTTTTTTTGGAACCAAATCCTTACTTCTAGCAGCACATTTTCAAAATAACATCAAATAATTAATAAAGCATATATATAACTAGCATATTTATCTATATTTCTATATATCTATGTCTCTCTCTCTCTCTTTCTCTAAGATATATATAAATATATATGACCTTGCAATCTTAGTAATATTTTAAATTTTGACCTTGATTTAATAAAACCAATAAATTATCCATTTTTAAAAAAGAAGAACATATATCCAACATTTTTGATAAATTTAAAAATAACAATTTGCTCATAAAAATGTAAATTTAACAGTTACGATTATAATTAGCCAGAAGCAAATTTATACCTATATATAAATATATGAGATTTAATTTGCATACTTGACACATATTAAATATGCAGTTAAGCTACTTTCTACGTTCTATGTGGACACATAATGTATTATAAAACACAAGCATATAAAATACTAACCATATGAAATACAACTCAAATTTTTCAAATTAGCAGTGTGGCCTGTATTTCTTTTCTAGATTTACTTAGTCCAATAATTAATGTTCTGAAGACATTTACTGTGATTAATAACAGAATTTTATTTACTACTTACATTACTAATGGATAATTATTTTCCATCAATTATCACTGGCAAACAAAAAATGCAGCCTTTTAATTTTTAATGAGTAGGAAAATTAGACAGAACTGAAAGAACATAAAAGCAGCCATTTATTCAATAAGTCACTCACACACGAAGAATCTAATCTATATTAAAGGAAACTAAGATGCCATTTTGCAGGTTTTCTAACGGCTTCTGAAAAGGAATGTCTGTATGTAGTTTAGGCAAGCAGAGGTAACATAACCAAAACCTTTACGCTTTATACAAGATAACCATTGTCAGTTAAATACTTCTGAGATTAACCATGGCTTTCAGGACTCAGCTAGGAGAAATAAAGTCATCCAAACATTATTTTTTTTAACTGAGAAACACAAATCTTAGTATGATGGTCTTCTCATAAAGCTTATTTTCATTACCTGGGCCTGGCATGAGTATATTTCCAATACAAAGATCACTGGGAAATGGATCTTTAAGGCAAGCACTTTTTGTCAACCATATTTACAGAAGTATGTTGTTGTTGTTTTTAAAAACTAACTATGGAAAGAAGAGTTGTGAGGGCTGGAGGAAGATCTCCATCCTTCTTTTTATTACCAGTGAAGCAGGGAAGGGGGTGGCAAGGAAGAATTCAGACAGTGATGGGAATCACTAGACATGAATGAATTGCCCCCAAATCAAGATAGCGTGTCTTCTCAAATGACTTTATCAACTGTGAACTAAAGTCCAAATTCAGAACCTATTTTCCAAGTGCATCAAATGATCCATTGATCTTCCTAAGACTTAAAACAGTCTCTATTACAAAGTCCGCTGTAAAATAATTGTTTGAACAAAATCACTGCTTTTAAACAATCCACCATTTACTCTGGCGGGGCTTACACTCACAGCAGTATGTTCCCAGAAGACTATGCCTTTGTACCCAAATATATGGATGAAACTCTTACACATTGCATCCTAGAGGACAGATCACAACTAGTATAGATCTATTTCAAGCTATTTAGCTCTCATCAGCTAGCCATACCCTTACACCCTGCCTGCATGTTAGGCAGTTGTATTAACCTCTGAGTCACAAGTTCTCCTCCCTTCATCAGCTTGACTCATTTCTAATATACTCTTCTGGACAGTCACCTACCTCAGCATCCAGTGTAGCAGATGCTATAATCAAGCGAAGATCTCCTCGTTTTTTCTGAACCTATAGAGAAAAATATTAAAGACTGTTCAGTTGGAATCAAATATCACAAAAATCTAAAATTAACACTGATGAGAAGTACTGGCATACTTTAGATTTACATGTAAATACATATCATAATAATGCAAGGTAATTACAAAATCAGCTTTTGTTCTCATTTTCTCATAGAAGGACCCATTCACCTAAACTTGACATTAGTTTTAATGCCATAGTTTCTCCTCTTTTGAATGATCAGTTAGGTATCTTAATTTAACCCTAGAAGTATGCAATGTTTATAATAACCGTCATCCTTGATATATCTTGTCAAAAAATTACTAAGCAACATTGCACAGTGAAACAGGATACATTATACTATTTTCTCCCTAGCTCTCATATTCTTGATGCTGGAAAATCACAACAACATACCAGGAGGGAAGTACACATAGTTTTCCAAATACAGAACTATATTCCACAGCATCTCCATTCCCATACTGGGAACAGTAGTTCAGCAGCTTATATTAGGGCCACAAATTTCCATTCTTGATGTAGATTGAATATAAGGGCCTTAAAATGGTTGGAATTGATAAGATTGCAGGCCTACAGCAACAAAGTAATTGTAAATATTTGCTCTGTTCCCAACTCAATGGTTGCAAAAAAGAGTTATGAAAAATATAGTCAGAATGCTAACCTTTTTTAATAAGCCAATGGCAATATCTGTATATAAAGTTCTCTCATGAGCTTCATCCAACATGACGACACTAAATAAAAGCCAAGATATATTTTTAAAAAAGATCCCAATTATGAAATGCTCATCACAATATTAAACATGCTTGGTAGCACCAAGTTAACAAATATAATTCATGATTTAATAGCCAGTTATTATGGAAATCATATAATTAAACTGATGTTACACACTTATGACTCCCAAACTTTAAAAACTTCAACAGAGTTACAACAAAACATAATAAATTATACATAAATTCTAAGAAATACAACTTAAAATAATTAATAGAAAGCCAAGTATAACTTATCTAAACCATGACTTTTGTAGAAACTATTCAAGAATTGTAATCTGAAAAACTTTTCTTGGGCTACATCTAGCTATATTATTCCACCAGCAAAAACTGGTTAATTAACCAAATGGATTCTTATTTTCCATCTCAGCTACTAAATAATGTGACCCTTCAAATTATATTTGGAGTACACAGGAGGAGAGAAAAATAGAAGCTGTTCTTCTTATGGGAGTTAACATTTACTTATATAAGAGAATTTTTAATACAAATGAATAAATATGTGGTATGTATTGTAGCAAAACTCAGAAAGACAGTAGGAATGAAAAAAACAAACTGCTTATATAATGATGGCATTCTAACATCTCTTATGATTTGTGTCTATGTTTGTGTGTGTAGAAATAAATGGTAGGTAGAAAGAGTGAGTCAGTCAATCAGTTAGTATCATTATAGTATCTGATTTATTGAAATAATAAACAAAACTCTGAATACAAGATTAGTCCCCAAACATGTAGTCTACATTCAATAAAAATAAGAAAATAAAACAATGTAACAAAGAGAGGTAGAAATGAACACAGACAAAGCAAAATATGACCATTAATAGTTTAACAATAACCAGTGTGTTTACCTATATCTGGTTAGTAATGGGTCAGCCATCATTTCCCTGACCAGCATTCCATCTGTCAGAAACTGTAATAAACAAACAAAAACCCATCTATGTTTGTTCTGAAACAAGATTCATGGCCCAAACTTGCATCAGTTGGTAAGTAATTTCATCTACTTCCATGGGTTCAGAGATTAGTGTGGCTCTTTTATACAAAGTAGCATGTTTGCAGAAGACAAGGTATGCCTGGAAGAAACTGAAGGTTTGGAGAAGGACAAACAACATAAAGGAAAAAAGCGATAGTTGAGAATGCTAAATGGGACAAAACATTGTTTTGGCTGCAGTGGGAAAGGACAATTGTTGAATTACAAAAGGTAGTATTTACAGCACATAATCACCTATTTATTTATTTAAATAAATTGGCTGCCCGTCTCTAATGAATAAATCTGATATTTCTTTTAAATCACTGAAATGTGCTTTGGAATATTGGAACGACCCTGGACTCACCTAAGTATGTAGGCCCCATAGGTAGTCCTTAACTTACAACCAGAATTGGGACCAGAATTTCCACTGTAGGTTGTTGCAGTAATAAGTCAAGTCACACCTGATTTTATGACCATTTTATGGCAGATCAACATGGTTGTTAAATGAATCATAGTCATTAAGCAAGTAATACAGTTGTTAAGTGAATTCAGCTGTCACAATGGGCTTTTTTTAACCAGAAATTCAGGGAAAACTCAATTCAAGCCAGTTACCAAGGTGCTCAACTGTTATCATGTGACCGTGGGGATGGTGAAGTGGTCATAAGTGTCAATAAAGGTTATTTGGCACTTTTTCCGAGGCTGATGTAACTTAGAACCATCATTAAATAAATTGTCTTAAGTCAAGGACTAACTGTATTTGACTCTGAAAAACATTAGAACCTATTCAAAACTGCTAACCAATATTGATCCTCCGTATTGTCATCCCCAGAATGTACTGTTTTACTTGATCTTGACTGACTCGAAATATTTGTAAATACTTTGAGGACAGAAGCATTTTGCCCAAATATATATATATATATATATATACCTTAATCCTTGTAACTTGTGGGTCAGTACAATCATCAAATCGAATGCAATATCCAACTTCATGGCCCAGCAAGGCACCCCTCTCTTCAGCTACCCGCTCTGCAATCTAGGAGAAAGAATAACATGAATATTGCAAATAATAAACACATTTGATTTGTGAATGTATTGTTTGCTTATCTTGCACAACTAGGGAAAAATAATTTTAAAAATTAGTGAAGTAAAATTGGTTAACTTGAGCTAATTCTCTTGGATCATTATGTAGTAGTTAGTTAAATATAACCAATCTTTATATGGCAAGGCCCAGTTTCATTAATAAATACTGGCAATGCGATTATTCTGCTTCTACAAGGATGAAGAAAAATAAAGTAAAATCTTCTGTACTTAAAGACTGCACTAGCACTTCAACACAAGAAAGCTGGTTCTCCAAAATTTTCTTTCACCAAAAAACTGCCAGACTTGCAGCGATTTCCCCTTCATCATCAGAAATGTATTATTTGATGGCGGCCCTCCAGCTGTAAAATGCTCTCACTACTAAAGAGGTGTACCTCCTGCCAAAAAGATTGTGTAATAGAAGCACCAGGCATATTTTTGGATCCAAATTAAGACTATAAAAAGGAAACTTCAATTTAAGAAATGACACTGTCTGCTCCGTGTTTCTGTATGAAAAGGCACCAAAGAGAGGAATTATTTGTTGGCATTCATTAGCTTTTTAAAGAGATGACATTATGGGAAAGAAATAAAATATCTGCAATGATTTGACACTCAATGAATTAAAGTATTTGACCCATTGTTTTAAAGCTTTCTTATGGCTGTTTCTCCTGTCACAGTTTTGTGTCTTCAAGTCTATTTTACAATATTCCATCAGTGAACAGATAACCAGTTCATTCTAATAATAAATTTCAATTAGTTACAAAGCTAAATAAACAAAAGCGTAATCTGTATTCACTAATATTTGCTGCACCAAAAATAGAAATGTCCAAGTGCATTTCACACTTGTTCTTCAAAATGGGCCATGTGATAAATCTCAACAACCTTCAAATGAACCATGGCTAAACCCATGCATAAACACGAAGCTAAAATGACACATTTCAGTATTTATGCAATGCTACATTTTAATAAATATAGAAAATCTTTCAAACACAATGCCTATAATTCAGGACAAATATAGCAAACTTTTTACAAAGTTCCAAAATTGTTAAGTATTTTGTGTAGTACATTTCATGTCCTTCAAGTAAATGTGGCTATGAGATCAAAGCAACTATTTAGCACTAATTACTAATTTTCCTAATTTTAGAGATTAAACTGGTCCTTATCACTCTGGGGAGTCAACGGAGTAAATGGAAGAAATCTTAGGAACATCAAATCTTGCATGCATTTGGCATTCTCACAGGGAGGTGACTATTTTTAAATTTTATTTAATTTTTTTTAAAGAAATTAATACATGAACTAATTTGCAAATCATGCAGCAGAACCCAGGAATGAAATTCCAGCTCCAGTCTGAGCATTCTGCTATTGGGACAGTACACTGAATCCAACCCTTTTCTAAAGATGAACATGAAGTAGTATAGAACTCCTTTCCTATAAGTAGCATTTGTTATGTAATCATCCTCTTCAATTATAAGCAGCAGGAGAAAATAGAACTAATGGCTGCTTTAAACTTCCTCCCTGGTCAAAAACCAGGAGGATGTAGGATGTTTCACATCCATAAGACCAACTGATAATGCCTCAGGTTTAATCACTGATATATTCCCAACATCAAACTTTATTAACTCAACTTGGGAAGTAGAAAGGGAGTTCCAATGTCAGTCTCCCTCTAAATTTAGAATCAAAATGGATTAATCTTGTCAGAAAGAAAGAACCCTCTTGGAGACATAGTTTTTGGTAGTGTCAAAGAAATATAAAACTAAGGAAAATCAATTTATCTTGTGTACTATTTTATTTGGTTAAACGGCAATCTTTTATTGAAACCAAGATGGCTTTCAAATCAATTTAATATATTTAATAAAATATCAAATATCTCATTAAACATGTATAAGCATTTTAGCATTCCCAAAATAGCTCTTTGGATCTAACTTATCCACTACAAGATCCATTTGCGCCCTGTGTCAAAAAGTCTCAATCCATGCAATGAATTATAATGAAATATACTGGTTAGTCTAAATGCACTGTCAAAGACTTTGCAGATTTTTACCTGTCTGCTCTATAGATAGAGTTATACAAAACAGATAGCTTTGGATAGTCCATGCCTGATTCCAAAATGTACTTTTCAGGTGTTTGGGTCTATATATGGCATGAAGCAGAACTGTTTTGTTTCACGTATAAACAGAGAGGTGATTATTCTGGACAGAAATGGTTTGGGGGACTACAGGAACAGTAGGAAAAAGCAAATGAAATTGGGTTTTGTTTATGATGGCATGAATGGACATCAGCAGCAGTCACTGAGAGGAGGCAGGGGAAGTGCTGAGAAATGGGAAACAGATCAGCATACAGGATAAGCAGAAGAGATTGTAAGAGAGAACAATGGGCACCAGGTGGCTCTACCTGTCCCATAACATTCCTTCAGAATTTTTTGTCTTGTAGCGTATGGGTCTTTGCCAAAGCACATAATCAAGTCTATTTTTCTCCACATTATGAAGGCATGATGGTTTTTTTCCAGGACAAGGAAATTGTTAACAAAACCTTTATTCAATTGTGAAAAGCATCCGAGTGTGCTGTTAATATGCACAGGTCCCAACTGCAAATTACTGCCCTCACATCAAATAAAAAAATAAAAGAAAATATACATTCTAAGATATTATTGCAAAAAATTTCAATGAAAACCTGTGGAAAGTATTTGTACCTTTATTAGTGTCTCATAGATATTAACAAATGTCAAGAATGCTTAATGTATTTGCAAATACTTTTTGACAGACTTTACACATTTGAGTAAAATATCTAACAGTCTGTAAAAATAATATAGAGAGAAATCTCAGAATTTGGAATCCAGGCCACTCACTGAAATACAAGCAACTCTCCGAGGTTGTGTTACTCCCACTATCCGGCCTTCAGCAGTCCAACCAGCTTCTGTTAGATACTGTCATGGAAAAAAATATTCATTAGAACTGATGTATAAATTTATATTAATCTTGGTTTTTAATTACTTTTCATTCCTCCTCATTTTCCCTCCATTTCTGTTTTCCTGCAAATAGACTTTCTCACTGGGAAAAAAAAAATTGTAGATCTAATTCAATGTAGAGGTAGTCCTTGAGTTGCGACAGCGATTGGGATTGCCATAATTAAGCAATGCAGTCATAAAGTGTAATGTCATGTGATCACATTACTTAGTGACGACCCTCCTGCCAGTCCTGGCTGCCACTGTAACTTCAAGATCCATGAGTCATTAAGCATGAAGTGGTGGCAGTCCAGGTAAGGAGAGCAAAGGTGCCATCTGGAAGTCTGGTAGGTTCTGGAAAGTCCAACGCAGGTTGTGCACAAGTGCAGGATGGCCAAGGGTGCAGTGCTCCCTTATGCTTCAAACATAAGGGGTGTCAAACTCAAGGCCCGCAGGGCCGCCCTGGAAACAGCAAAGGACCAGCCTGCAGTGCCTCTTCCAGTGAAAATGGAGCTCGACAAAAGACAGAGAAAAGGAGAGGGCTCCTCCCGAGCTCCGTTTTCACTGGCAGAGTGCTCGGGCCGCCCCAGGCGCCCCCGGGCTCCATTTTCGCTGGCAGAGGGCTGCAGGAGGTCGTTGCAGCTGAAAACAGAACCTCTTACAAGCTCTGTTTTCACTGGCAGAATGCAAAACTACTAGCAAAAGTAGCATTTGATCACACGAGTGACATCAAGCTGGCCATGCCCCTCCTGGCTACACCCATCCCGGCTCCCCGAGGTCAAACACAACCCTGATACAGTCATCAATGAAATTGAGTTCGACACCCCTGGGATAGAAGCCGTGGTGAAATCCTCCACCGGTCGCCACCAGTTCTCTGCCCACGCATGCACGGTGTGCGGCAGATGCACGCACGCATGCAGTGCGCATCAAATGTGCGCTTCGCATGGAAACAAGAGCCATTTGAAGGTAAGTAGAACAGCGAGGGGGGAACAGCTGTGCCATGTGATTTAGATTCGCTAGAAAGCAGGATTTCCTGCTTTCTAGTGAATATAAATTGTGCAGCACAGCTGATCGTCGGAAATACGGGTTCGGACCAACCAGCAGCTTTTTTTTACTACCAGTTAGCTGAACTAGTAGATTTTATCACTACCAGTTCACCCGAACCAGTATGAACCGGTAGGATTTCACCACTGGATAGGATAACTTATTGGAGTAACTTGTGACCTTCCCTGTCAGCTTTCCCATTGACTTTGCTTATAGGAAGCCAGCACAGAAAAATGCATTACAATTCTTAAATTATCAAGAAAATATTTAATAAACATCAGAAAAATGTATAATCCATTTTCTCACTTTATCAATTAACTAAGCTGGACAGTTACTAGCTATCAGATTAATACATTTGAAAGGGTTTGGATCTATATTTTGGTTTCTATAAATGGAATGTGTCCCAACAAAAAAATTAATCTAGAGGAACGTTTCTGCAGGCTAAAGAAAGAAAGGTATTTTTTATAGTCTTTCTCTTCAGCTCTTTGAAAATCTGTCCTAGAAAGTTGAAGGTTCTTCTGGAATTTTATGGAAGGTGTTACTGATGGTTACAGAGAGAAAAGGAACTAGTAGCAAATCATTTCTGTTCCCATTTTCCAGAAAGTCTTGAACAGAGCTTATCTTAGAGTGCGCTTTAGTAGCAAGAACAAATTCTAGACATAAATTAGTTATTTATAGTGAGATATAATAGCAAAGAATTAGTGCTAATGTGAAAATTGTAAAATATTTTCATTAGATCAATAATTATCCAGAAAAAGTATGAATTAATTAACCATGGAGTTAAATCTGCAAATGTTAATTTGAAAGTGAAGAATATTTTTGAATATGCTCCTCTGCTACAAATAGCTGGCTTCAACTCCAATAAAGAAGGTAGATCCATGTTCTAGTTAATCCAACTGGACCATTTGGAGAATTAGATACGATTACTTAGAATAATTAACTCCAGCAGGCCTACCAATTCAATGACTTCTGCTCAGCATTCATGAATTACAAACTAGCCATGGTTATGAAGGCTATGACAAACAAGCAGGAAAAAACAATTGTAAGTGATACACATATGCTTATTATCAAAGGACATTACAAGTCATCCTTGAATTACGACAGCCATTGGGGCCAGAATTTCCATCACTAAGCAATGTGGTCATAGAGTAAAATTTCACATGACCGCATTCCTTAGTGACAGAAACTTGGTTCGCTAACCAAATCCAACCTTTTGTTAGACAAGGACCTAACACAATACAAGTCACTCCTGGCTTGGTCTCTCCCAACCTCAAGCCTTGGTAAGGTAAAGGACTGTCTCGTCTTCAACTCCCCCTACCGACCTACCCCCTTACCCATTTCTGCCCTTTTAACCACCTTGTACTACATCATCTAGGCCAAGGCCATCATCTTGGTGCCCTGTTATCCCACCAGCCTTGCCACCCTGTGCTTACTGGCCCTATAATGGCAAAGAGAGCTTTGCTGGCCCTTGCTGACCTCCTCCATCTTATTCCATCCACTGCAGATGAATCACGTTGCATGTACCTTGTCCAAATTGTGTGCCCGCTTCTTGTGAACAGTGGCATGGCCAGCGAGTGCAGGACAGAAAGGCCAGCAGGAGAGCAAGGCCAGTAAGCACAGAATAGCAAAGGCAGTAAGCACAAGGCAAAAAAAGCTAGCCTATCTAGCACAAAGTCGCAAGGATGGCAGGAGCAGCAGGGCCAGCCAGGGGGCATAGGCCAGCAATGCTAGAAGAGCATAGGACAGACTAAAGGGCAGAGACAGTGACATATCCATCCATGGCAAATGATTGATTACCAGGTCAAGTATTCCATTAATAAACAAATAAATGCAGATTATTAGTACTCACTTGGGGAATCTGAGTGCTTTTCCCACATCCTGTTTCTCCAACAATCACTAATGTCTGATAGTTTTCTACCAGATAGAGGATATGATTTCTAAGCTGGAAGAGAAATAGATATTCAGACATGGATTAAAGTACTTCATAAAAGAAATTTCAATAAAGGGGTAAGGATGCAATCCATTCTGTGATGACACTATGGGAATATTTAGGTAGAATGCTTTATCTCATATACTCTTAAACAAACCATAAAACAGATTTATTTGTACTATATATAATTTACTTTAAAAGGCTACAGTAACAATAAAATATATAAAATAATATAACACAATGACACAAAGAGGCACATAATCTTTACCAAACAAGTTACAATCTAACACAGAATTCTTATATCCATTCAATTGCAATTCAACTCATGTTTACAGCAGCAGTGAATAGCGGCAGGCTTGTATTGCTGTCACAGTGTTCCCATACATTGAGATAGGAAAAATAATTCTGTCACAGCATAATGTGACCTACATATGTTAAAAATACATTTTCTATTTTGCAAAAATCAGTTTAAAATATGAGAAGGTAGAGCATGCCTAAATGGCAATGCTCGCAATTCTGCAGTTCAAAGTAATAAAAGGAATTCATACCTTAAAAACAGGCAGCTTTTGCCTCTGTTGCTCAATAGAAAGGGAAATAAAGGGATTATAGATGACCGAAACGCTTGAACTTTCAGCAGCATTCTGTCTTTCCTCTGAGAGGCTGACACCTGGTCCTTCTGTGCCTACATACCCAAGCAAACAAATTATTATTAATCTGATGTTAATTTTTACAAAAATACAAAGGTAAAGAAATGTTTTTGTTCACAATTTTACTTTGTAATTTAACATAGTACATTTAAGAGAGAATTAGTCCTCGCAAATTCAGAGCTTTTCAGTTTAGTATTTTAAAAGATTTAAAAAAAAAAAAAAAACCAACTTGCTGGCATACCATGTCCATATCAGATGAGGACAGACTGTTCCTCAGTTACATACCATATTTTTTGGACTATAAGACGCACCAGAGTATAAGACGGACCTTAGTTTTTGGGGAGGAAAATAAGAAACAAGCTGATTGGGGGTGGATTGGCCTCCCGGAATACCCCCATCAGCTGTTCCCAGAGGTGAACTTTAGCAACAGGTTCGTTGGTTGTGAGCTCTGCGCCTTGCTTTTTTTTCATCCTCTGAAACCTCCGTTTCTGAGGCTATTTTTCAGTCTTTCAAACGGAGGTTTCAGAGGCTTTTTCCAGCCTCTCAAACAGAAGTTTCAGAGGCTGGGTGGGCTACATTCAGACTATAAGACGCACCCAGATTTTCACCCTCTTTTGGGGGGTAAAAAGGTGTGTCTTATACTCCAAAAAATATTGTATCTTTCAATTGTCTCCAAGGTGAATTTTCTAATTCACTGTGTATAAGGCAGGTTTTTTTAAATAATGGTTCAGAAATTAAAACAAGAGCTACCATTACTGGTAGAAGACTGAAATATATGCATTTCTATGATACTACCGTAGATACCTTGATTATGAGGAATTAAAATGCTGGATTTTAAAAACCTAAACAGTTTAAGCTTCTGGCAAAGTCCTGGTTGTGCTTTTGGATGTCCTCTGTTGTGAGTGAGATTGGACATAGTGTCTCCATACTTGCCCTATATGACTTGCTGACTTTCGATATTGTTGACCATTTGAATCAGCTCAAAGAGTTGGAGTTTACATGGCATGTTTTTGCACTGGTTCACTTCCTTCATTCAAGGTCATTTCAAGTTGGTTGTGATTGGGAAAGAGAGATCTCACCATTGGCCCCTACAATGTGGGGTGTCACAGGGTTTGGTGCTTTCTCTTCTCCTTTCCAGAATCTACATGAGGCTACTGGCTGAGCTCATCCATTGCATGAAGTGAGGTGTCATCACTGATGATACTCAATTATATATTTCCCTCCCTGGTAAATGTCTCACCCCAGTTCCTGAAGGTTGTGAGAGTCTGGATGGGGAACCCTGGCAAAACTGAACAGTTTTCATTTTGGGGACCCACTGATTCCAGGTTCATACCATCTTTCATGCTGAATGAGGTTGCACTACCAGAAACTTAGGTGGTACAGAACGCACTTGCACTGCAGTTATGTACAGTGGGGCAAAAAAGTATTTAGTCAACCACCAATTGTGCAAGTTCTCCCACTTAAAAAGATGAGAGAGGCCTGTAATTGACATCATAGGTAGACCTCAAGTATGAGAGACAAAATGAGAAAACAAATCCAGACAATCACATTGTCTGATTTGGAAAGAATTTATTTGCAAATTATGGTGGAAAATAAGTATTTGGTCACCTACAAACAAGCAAGATGTCTGGCTCTCACAGACCTGTAACTTCTTCTTTAAGAGGCTCCTCTGTCCTCCACTCATTACCTATATTAATGGCACCTGTTTGAACTTGTTATTAGTATAAAAGACACCTGTCCACAACCTCAAACAGTCACACTCCAAACACCCACTATGGTGAAGACCAAAGAGCTGTTGAAGGACACCAGAAACAAAATTGTAGACCTGCACCAGGCTGGGAAGACTGAATCTGCAATAGGCAAGCAGCTTGGTGTGAAGAAATCAACTGTGGGAGCAATAATTAGGAAATGGAAGACATACAAGACCACTGATAATCTCCCTCGATGTCACGCAAGATCTCACCCTGTGGGGTCAAAATGATCACAAGAACGGTGAGCAAAAATCCCAGAACCACACGGGGGGACCTAATGAATGACCTGCAGAGAGCTGGGACCAACGTAACAAAGGCTACCATCAGTAACACACTACGCCGCCAGGGACTCAGATCCTGCAGTGCCAGACATGTCCCCCTGCTTAAGCCAGTACATGTCCGGGCCCATCTGAAGTTTGCTAGAAAGCATTTGGATGATCCAGAAGAGGATTGGGAGAATGTCATATGGTCAGATGAAACCAAAGTAGAACTGTTTGGTAGAAACACAACGCGTCATGTTTGGAGGAGAGAGAATGCTGAGTTGCATCCAAAGAACACCATACTTACTGTGAAGCATGGGGGTGGCAACATCATGCTTTGGGGCTGTTTCTCTGCAAAGGGACCAGGACAACTGATCTGTGTACAGGAAAGAATGAATGGAGCCATGTATCGTGAGATTTTGAGTGCAAACCTCCTTCCATCAGCAAGGAAATTGAAGATGAAACGTGGCTGGGTCTTTCAGCATGACAATGATCCCAAACACACCGCCCGGGCAACAAAGGAGTGGCTTCGTAAGAAGCATTTCAAGGTCCTGGAGTGGCCTAGCCAGTCTCCAGATCTCAACCCCATAGAAAACCTTTGGAGGGAGTTGAAAGTCCGTGTTGCCCAGTGACAGCCCCAAAACATCACTGCTCTAGAGGAGATCTGCATGGAGGAATGGGCCAACATACCAGCAACAGTGTGTGCCAACCTTGTGAAGACTTACAGAAAACGTTTGACCTCTGTCATTGCCAACAAAGGATATGTAACAAAGTATTGAGATGACCTTTTGATATTGACCAAATACTTATTTTCCACCATAATTTGCAAATAAATTCTTTCCAAATCAGACAATGTGATTGTCTGGATTTGTTTTCTCATTTTCTCTCTCATACTTGAGGTCTACCTACGATGTCAATTACAGGCCTCTCTCATCTTTTTAAGTGGGAGAACTTGCACAATTGGTGGCTGACTAAATACTTTTTTGTCCCACTGTATGCTTCTAGGGCAACACATATTACATTTCTGCTTCATAGGCTGTTTCGGTTCCTAGTTTGCTTTTGAGTCCAATTTAAGGTGCTGGTGCTGGTTTTAACCTTTAAAGCTATTCATGACTGGATTATCTGAAAAGCTGTCTCTGCCCAGTTATATTACTTGCCCTATCGCAGAAAAGGCATACTACGGGCACCATCAGCTAGGGATCTGTTTGATGAATCCTAAGAGATGGGCCTTCCTCTATTGTGGCATCTGCCTTAAGGAACATTATTTCCCCTAAAATTAGAATGGCCCTTTTTGACTTTTTGTTAAGGTCCTTCAATACCCGGTTATGCTTCCAGGTCTGGGGCTCCCAGGAGATTGAAGTTCTGATGGCTCCATTGCTGAGGGAACTATTTTTATCCTCCCTTCACCCAGTGTTAGTTTTATTTTTATGCTATTTATTACTGCAACTTCCAAGAATACATATAAATCTACTTTCTCTGTTCTGCTGAATTAGCCATGTCATTTTCAAGGCTCGGGCAGCTGCTTTGGAAGGTGCTCCTGATTGTCTCTGCATGCTTTGAGTGAAGTGATTGTGAATGTATATTGCAATGTACTGTTTTCTGCATGTAAGGGATCTCTTTTCAAAACCACATAATCTTACTAGATAGTTATTTTATATTCTTGTAATTGTATTCCTTAATTGCAGTGTTTTAGATACACATACATAATAAATAATTTTGTTGATTTTGATCATGATTTCTGAATATGAAACTTTTACTGTACATTAATTGTCCTGAATATAGATCTATTAGCAGTAATTACATGAGTATTTATTCAAAATAAATTTCTACTTTAGGACTTATTTCTATATGAAATGAACATGGGTTATGCAACCTGTCTCACTGAACTCAGAAGTGTTTGAATTCAAACACTTGTAACAAACAACTGACCTAAGTACACCCACAGCAACTGACAATTGCATGTGTTAAATCATACAACAGATACAAATAGGTTAAAAAATATGAATACAGGTTGTCTTCAACTTACGGTCACAATTGAGCCCAAAATTTATCTTGCTAAACAAGACAGTTAAGTGAGTTTTGCTCCATTTTACAATGTTTTGTAATGGAAGTCCATTATTTTGTAAAAACAGTTTTACAACCTATCTTGACACAGTTAAATGAATCAAGTGCAGTTGTTAAGTCAGTAATATGGTTGTTAAGTGAATCTGGCTTCCCCATGGATTTTGCTTGTCAGAAAATCACACAAGGTGATCATATGAGCCTGGGACAACCATCATAAATATGAACCGGTTGCCTAAAGTTTGTTTTTTGATCACATGATCATGGGGATGGTGCAAAATGTCTGTTCTTTCAGTGCCATTATGACTTTTAACGGTCACTAAATGAATGGTTGTAAATCAAGGATCATATGTATATGTAAGCTGCAGTGGGCTCTTCAGTTTACAAGAGGAAAAAAATTATTCCAATTTGATTACATAATTAATTGCTGTTCTTATGATCCATCAAATCAACCCTGACTCCTGCTGACTCAGGAACAAGTCCATGCACTTTCCTTGGCAATATTTTTAGAAGTGGTTTGCCTTTGCCTTCTTCCTACAGCTGAGAAAGAGTAACTAGTCCAAACTCATCTAGCTGGTTTTGGTGCTTAAGGCAGGCCTAGAACTCCTGGTCTCCGAGTTGCTAGCCTGGTGACTGTACCTCAAATTGGCTCACGTACCATAAACAGCATATTACAATTTTAAGATACTATCAGCAATATCAAGCAGCATGCATATGCACATCTTCACATGTTGCAATTCAAAAAGCTGCTATAAATTCAGGTTTGCCAAAATTTATCATTAGCTACAATTTATACCATAAAAATGCTTTCTTAATTGCATAATGTGTATGCATTGCTATCAATTCATGTAATAGCTTGCCCAGAAACCATATTATTTCAGTCTGAACACATCTCAAAGTAACAGATTTGGAAAAGTTTCTTTAACATGTCATGGCTGTTTTCAAAATTATGCAGCACAGAAAAGAACTTAATTTATACATTGCACTATGCCAAAAAAATTAGTTGGTTTTGCTCTATATGTTATGTAAACCCGATACTATAGGGGTTACATTAACTATGTTTTAAATATGAGTTTATTCAACAAACACATGATTAAATAAGGAATGTTTCACCTTGGGGGAATTTCTAAATTATCCATTGTGTGTTGTGTTGACCTGGCTCTAAATAATTTTACCAATAAACTATTGTGGATATTAGGGGTATTGGGGTTTATGATCATCACTAAGTAGATGAAAGAACTGGAATGAATCTAACTTTAAAAACATTGAGAAGAGAGCTATGTAGTCATGTGTTTTCTCTTTGACAATCTGCACTTTATTTTATTTGTACTTCAAAAATTTGTAGCCTGTTTCTAAATTTTGATTTTTTGTATATGATTTACTATCTACATATAAAGAACAAAGTGCATATAACTATCATGGTCATACTAAATAGCACCCATCAAAACTGACCACTAATTGTATGTAAGTAGTTATTTAAAAATTGTATATTAAATTAAATAGAACTTTCTTGCAAGTAAATATTCATAGAATTATTCAAAAACATTTAGCTTCAAAGATCATATTACAAATTGGCGGCCATCAGGGTTTTTTTTTTCTCTACCCTTCAATAACTTTAAAGGATGCAGGGATAAAATGGGTTAATGGAAATGTGAGGAAAAGTTAGGTTGTATGTAGAACAATACAGAATTATCAAATTGTTATAGATTTTTCCTAGAAGAAAATGTATCAAACTTTGGAATCTATTCAAAATCATTGTTAAAAAGGCTACAAATACTACTGTTAAAATCTGGATATACAGTAGAAGGACCACTGTATTTATGTTTTTCTAGAAATCAAGAGAGATCAGTTCATGGGCAAATTATTTTTTTCACTGAAATATAAATTATTAATAATCTCAGAAAGAAGTCACTATTATATTAATAAATCAGTGAAAAGTAATCAAAGAATAAATCTTCCTTAGAACCCAAAGGTGTGAATGACTACAGCATTAAGAAATGTGTTCCACTGAACACAATGGCAGTAATAGTTCAACAAGGATATATATATACAGAACATTAAAAACTATGTTGTCAGTTTTTGTGGCATTAAGGTGCAGGCAAAGTTCTCTAAATTCCACATACTCTTTTGTAACTGCAAATACCAGAAGCAATCTGTATACATACACAAATAATTCTAAAAGTGAGCAGTAATTTAATTTAAATATTAATAGCTCTATAAAATTTTCAGCATTGGAAAACTGTCTTCTAATTATCCTTCACGCCAGAAAAATCACAAAATGCAAATAGATAAAAGCTACCATGTAAATTGCTTAGCACTGCAGAAGATCCTGTTATCACAGCATTTGATTGCCATTGCATTTACATATGAGCTAGCAAGAACAGCATCTAATTCCACCACTGAGGATTTTTACCTTACTACTTTTCAGTGGGGTGGAAGCTTTTCCTCAATTCCACAATGCCCCTTAAAAATTTAAAATCATATCCTTTCAGTTCAGATGAGAGTTATCTTAAAATCATCTCAGGTTATTACTGCTTTGTACCCAACAAAAGCATATTTATTTTGCAATTGTACTAGTCAGCATGCATTGCCTATTAAAATAGGTAAATTCCTTTTTTTAAAAATTCATGGGACGAGACTAGTACATCTCCTTCAATATATTTTAAATGTAAATATTTGTGCGGTTTGCCTCTAAGGAGGTTCAGTGGCGCAAGAGAAGAAGGCTGTACTTATGGGTGTGTTAATTTTGAATATTCTACAACTAGAATTAAGACTGGTGATAAACCCCATGACCTAAAAAGAATCTTCACTAAGCGAATTTATGAGTAGAATTTTATAGCAGCTTAATCTCAATCCGGTGCATTTATTTAACGGCACCTGTCGAGGTAAATAGGTTCACTCCAAAGCATTACATGGCATGGGAGGTGGGGGGGAGCAGGACGACCGCCAAGAAAGAGAAGCACAATTTTTTCCGTTCAGAATTCACAAGCCTCTAAGTCAATGGAACCGCACGTTCAAAGGTTAAATATGATGATGATTTGAGCAGGTGCAGAATAACTTTTCTTCTAGCCTTGTTAATTTGTGACCGGCCACCTATTTTATTTTATTTTTTATTATAATATTATTTAATGAGTCACAAAAGTCGCGAGTCCGTCCTCCAAAATAAAGCATCGTTACATTCCCTACCGCCTATCCCGCCGGCGTCCTTTCGCAAACTGAAACACGTTTCCACCCCAAAACTAGAGAAAAGCAACCTTCCACCCTTCCGCTTCTTATTCCCTCCCGTGGCATTGATATTCCGGTCCCTTCCAAGAAATTCAAGGCTTACCCGGTTTCCAAAACTTCATCGGACCCACGGGCGCCGCCATCTTGGGGTGAAAGGTCAAAATGAAAAGAACGGAGCCTCTCGCCATTGCAAGGATCATGTGATCGGGAGGCGTTTGGGGATTGGCTGGTGGTTACCATGGCTTCTTTCCCTCGCATATACGAAGCGGCTGCCTCTCCTCCAATCTATCGCCCAAGGGCAGAGTTTCAGCGGGGGGGACGCAGGTGTCTTTCGAGAGCTGCCTTGATTTCAGGATCTCTGTCGTCTTGCGTCCCCGAGAGGCCAGCCTTTGGGATATTTTAGATGAGGGTAAAGGCTTCGGCAGAAACGCAGACGCGGCTTGCCATGACCTTCTTTTTCAACCTTGGCAACTTTTAAGATGTGTGGATTTCAACTCCCAGAATTCCACATGTTCTTATTTCGGAATTAAATCTGAAACTCATTTTTCTCACCAACATCGCATGTCCAACATAACCATACCTTTTGAAAAAAATAGCTGGATACAAAAGTTTTGGAACATAATGTGACATTAACATTCTTGACATTAAAAAATTATCCCCCTAGATCAGGGATCTTCAACCTTGGCAACTTTAAGCCTGGAGGACTTCAACTCCCAGAATTCCCCAGCCAGCTTTGCTTCTTATATATATTAAAATATTACGGTTCCATTGGGTAAAAGAGTAGGCATAGCTGGTAACAGCATTCCCCATTGCAAAATTTTGTTTCAGATTCCACTAATGCTCTGTATCTAGATGTATTATATTACCTTGCTCAATGTGACATATTCCAGATGAGCTGGGCCAGGGGATCATGGTTGTTCGGAATTCTAGGAATTTCAGTCCCACTACATCTAAAACAAAACCTCATTTGAGGACATATGACTCTGACAACTAAGTGCATATACCCATTGTTCTTTGATTATAATCGTTCATGAATTATCTTGGTAGCATAGAGATGATTATTTCAGGTGGTTGGTTCCTGCTGGAGACTTATTAAAGGGATTTATTTATTTATTGGATTTCTGTCCCACTTTCCATTCAGGTATTAAGGCACCATATGTATCAATTTCTATTTTTCCCACAAGAACCCTGTGAGATAGGCTGGATGGAGACTGAGTATCTCAAACTCACCCAGTAAATTTCAGTGATTAAAAATATTCTTATGTGATTGAAAATACTTTGAGAAGCACAGTAATTTACAAACCCTCAATAATTGAAATTAGAGGAAACAATATCCACTAGGAAAATTTCTTGCCTTAATAAATTTATGGTCACCCTTTTACCATCAATTCACATGAATATTTCAAGAGCTTTTCCAACTAATCTGGTTCCTGATGTGTAGAAAAATTTTCCAGTAGTGGAATATTTCAGATGCTAAGTAAATAATCCAAAGTGATGGAGGAGGAAAAAAATAGTTATTAAAATATATCTCATATTAACTAAAAACTAAAAAACTAAACTTTTTTTCTTTATGTTTTATCACTCCTATGGTATTTTACCCTTATTTTGTGTTTATCTTTTGTAAACTATTTTGTATAACATTTTGATAGTATCAGATAAGTAGCATATTAAAAATATTACATAAATATATGTAATATAAGTAGAGACAATAAAAAGTCTTAAATAGTACCTAAAGGGAGATGCATTCTCTTCTCCCTATCCAGATGTAGAGATTCATCATTTTCAGTTTTATATAAATGCACTATTATCAGAGGAAGAAACATATTTCAATCGAATGTTTCGATTTAATACAAACATATTAAAGGTAGTAAGCAAACTATTTAAAACAATGTCTCATATTTGATTCTATGTTAGTCCAGTGTTTATTCATAAGCATGCTGTGCAAAATGCAGACTTTTGCTACCAATAGTTTTGAAGCTGTTGCTGGGGATGTCTTTGTTACTCAAGGTTGCCATTTATTCCATACCTGAATCCCCCAAAGATGACATCACTTTCACAGAAACCAGAATAGCCATAAATAAATAATCACACATGGGGTGGGAGTGGGGAACTCATACAAATGACAACTTTATGGGAATCAGTTTTGTTAGAAGACCATCAGTGATCCTGTACTTTTCCTTGGAAAGGTAGAAATTTACTAACTTCTTAATATGTAGCATCTGATCTTTGATGATGATCATCAAGTGCATGTATAAATTCATCTTTAGATGTTGCTTTCTAGGAACCTGAATAAGAACTCATTCACAAAAAGAAATAAATAGATCTTTCCATTTTAGCATACATACCCATAAATATCAATTCCAATCCAACTAGAGGATTATTTTAATATGGAATTCCTGGTTTACTGGTCTGAAAAATTAACTTTTTTCAATCATTTCTAAGTTAAATTACAATTATAAGTACTTCTGAATATTCAAAATTGTAATTACACCTGTCTAATGTGAAGAAAAATGAGTTTTTGTCATTTACATGGATCAGCTAATAAGAGAAAAGCCTTGTTATATTCCAAGAGAGCATTCTTTAAAAATCATATAATCAAAACAATCATTCTTACAAATGAGTACAAGGCAGAAGTATAAAAAATAAGAGGAAAAAGAAATATGTGATAGCATATCATAGTCAAAAGAGAACCCAAAGGTGCTTTTTCTTTGAAGATGTTTGAAAAGCTGAAGAAGCTTCTTGGTTGAGAAGTGAAATGTCTTCAAAGAAAAACCAGAAAGTCCAGTTGCCTCTTGAAAAAGCACCATTGGGACAACCATGATGATTGAGAACCTCCATAGACAGTGAAAGGAGAAATGAATCTGCTCACTGAATATGAAAAAATGACAGATGAGGAAGCAAACAAAGCAGGTGGACAAGTATGAGTCAAACAGAGTATCCAGGAAGAGAAAATAACAGTGAATGACCTTGTGTGAGTACTCTACTCTATAGTATTATGTGGATGCATCCTGTTATTGCAGATTGTTGACATTTTCCTGTTTCCAGATCAGTTCCCAGATTTTCAAAAAATGAAGAAATACACCTTGATCCAAAAGATATATCTAATGTTCCATTTCCTAAATGCTTCTAGAAGATCACTAAATATGTCAGTGGCTGGCAAGAAATTTTTAACTTGAGCAGTGATCTGAAACAAATTGCAGATTGTTAATTATGCAGAGATTTCATCAAAATGGAGAGCAATTATCTGAATCGGCCAGTCATTGAGAGCTGGCCAGCACACAAGTTTAGTAAATTATTATGGTTGGTCACGCAATGAACTAGATGTTTAAGATGGATTAGGCATTTTTATTTTATCCCCCTAAGGCAGTGTTTCTCAACCATGGAAGCTTGAAGATGGGTGGACTTCAACTCCCAGAATCCCCCAGCCAGCACTGCTGGCTGGGGGATTCTGGGAGTTGAAGTCCACCCATCTTCAAGCTTCCAAGGTTGAGAAACACTGCCCTAAGGTCTTAGGATTCATTATTTGATGGTGTTAAAGGTATTGTTATAGGATGTAAGCTATTCTAAGTATAGCTGCCTTTTGCAATTGACTGATGGTGATTTTGTCAATATCGATCATATTCAAGCGGTGCTCCAGATGTTTTGGGATTGGATTACTATCGGTACTACTTTTTTCTTTTACCATAGTCATTCTCCTTACTTTGCAGGTCTTTATATTTTGTTATTTTCTCAAATTCAGGGGAGGAGTTCTTTCTTTTCTGTTCTGTTTCTTTTCTGTTCAGGTGCTACACTATCCAATTTTGTGTTATTGACAATTATTAAGTCTGAGGTGTGATGTGGCAAGTGCTTGTCTGTTTGAATTCTGAAGTCTCAGACCACTTTATCTTCTTCATTTTCTATTATTTTGTCTATTTTAGAGTCTCGCAAATTCTTGCTTATAGGCAAATGGAATTGCTTACAGATATTCCAATGCACAATTATTGTTACTTTATCGTGGGATTATTTGTAGTCAGTCTGTGCCATCTTCTTGCAGCAGCTAACTAGGTGGTCTACTATTTTTTTTAGGTTTTTTTGCAGAGGTAGCATTTGCTGTCTATTCCAGTCTTCCTAATTATGATTTTCTGCTTATTCTTAAGGCTTGGTTTTATTCAGCCAGAATTAACCCTCTTGTCTCTTCAATTTTCCTTGTTTTACTCATTGCCAGGACTTATCTGCTTTGCCTATTTTTTTTAAAAATGTACTGCCATGTAATATTTTGCCTTGCCATCTCTTCTATTGTTCATTTGGTCATTCTTTTAGGCTGGTTTGCTCTCTCCAGTACTTCGTAGGCTTCCTGATATAGTAGCTTCAGTGCATTTTCTTCACTGTTCTTCAAATATTATTCCAATATCCTTTTTTCTTCAACTCTCTGATGCAAAATTCCACACCCACCTAAACATTTCCTTGGTATGTTTAGTCTGCCACGTCTCTGCATAAATGAAGGGCATGACTCCTTGTCATTATTTTTCTGGCCTTATTATCCAGGGCTTTTAGTTCTGCTTGAGTCCAATCCATTATTTTAGCTATCTAATGACAGGAATTGTCTACCTGTTGCTTGTTGTTACATCAGTTTATGGCTGAAAATATTCTTCAAATGAATATTTATTTTGTAAGAGAAAGATTTGTCTACAGCAAAATTCTGTTGGAAACACTGACAACTTCTTAAAAATAAAAAAAATCTCTAGAAATTGTGAAGAAAGTCAAGCCCTTGATGGAGTTTCTCACTTCTTTAGGCTGATCCTGAATTTCACATGCAGCATATCAGGACTGAGGAGAAATAACCATTTACTTTGTGTGTTCATAATTTTTATTATATATTTTAATTACATTATTATTAATTACATTTAATTACATTAATTAGTAGTAAAAGCTCATGTCTCCCAGAACCATCACTCTGAGTGAGCCAAACACAAAATCCAAGAACACAGGCAGATATGTAAGTCTATAAGACTAAATAAGGAAGAAGTTTAAGTGAACAGCAGCCACTGCAGACCTCTAGCGCAGGGGTGTTAAACTGGTGGCCTGTGGGCCAGATGCATCATGCACAAGTCATGCCCACCCGAGCTCCGTGAAGGGGGAAATGTCACAATACATCACGAGTTTGATATCCATGCTCTAGTGCAGGGCTGTCAAACTCCTGGTCTGCGGGCCGGATGCATCATGCGCTG